CTGAGCTTGGAGGGGTCTGTAGCCAAAATTGAGTTTGTCTTTAAGCTCTTCATCCATTCATCGAAATTAGGCCCTAACATGCATGGATTGCATCATTTACTATCCAAAGCCCTCATTATTACCTAAAGCTCAATGAACTGAAAGATAAACACAAAAAGGATTAAAAGCACAAGTTTAACTAAAAAAACATAACCAAATCATAAGCTAGAAGGGTACAAAATGATATGTAAATATGCACCGATCAGGAGGGCCCTATGAGGTTGACACGAGTATTTAGATATTTCTGGCGGGTGCTTCGAGGCTGATTCTGTAGAATCGGTATGGAATACCGATTGTAGGCTGTGTTGGGCCTGCAGCGGCTGTTCGTGGCTTTGAGGCAATGCCATCGGTGGCCGATGCCGATTGTCCGAGGCCTTGGGTACTTGGGCGAGTTTATGAGATCCACGTGTCGTTGCACGAGTGGAGGGTCAGATATGGTACAAACAGGCCTCATGGGTTGGAGATGGCTAGAGCATTTCCACTCATGGCCTAAAGGTCATGATAAAAGGCCCTTGGTTTCAAAAAAACTCTCTACCAATGCATTCTAGCCCGAATAGGACGTGGGCTCCACCAAGACTAAGCAGGCCCGAAGGCAAGATCAGCCTGAGCTACTGACTAAGGGCGTTGATGTTAGCGAATAATTTTTTTTTTATTTTAAAAAGAAAAAAATTCTTAAAAATTATGAATTTTTTTATTATATATATTCCTAGCAATTTTTTATTTATTAATCTCATACATATTTTAAAAAATTAATACCATGTGAATAGTAATTGCCATTGGGTTGCCATGGCAATGGGTGGAAAAGCACCAAAAAAAATAAAATTGCTATGGCTGATACGATTCATGTGAACAATAACTGCCCTTACTTGCCCTTGCCATTTGCTATGACAAATGGGTGAAAGTGCCCTTATTATTGTAGGTTGTAAAGTCCACTACTAGATATTGCAGCACTTATGCTCAATGTTTTTGCTATAAACCCTACAAAAGGTGTTTCTCAGTAAATATCCTAGAAATGTTTTTTTTTAAACACATACCCCTTCAAATGATATTTTGAAAAAAATTGTGGGCTAGGTGCTTATCATTAGAATTACAACATCTTCGCCTTTCACTACAAGAAAAACGTTTATTAGTGGCCAGCAAATTGGTCACAAAAAGTATCGATTTTGGTAATTGAATACAACTAGTGTCCAAATATTGGTGGTCACTAGGTGGTCACTAGAATCTCATCATAAATTCTATTCAATAACCAACTACAAGAATTGGTCACTACAACCCAAAGAATTGGTGATTTCCTATGTTTGGTCACTAACGAAAAAGCTATTAGTGACTGCAACTTTGATCACGAAAGGGCCTACAATGGTCACTAAAACACGTATTTTGGTAACTAAAAGTGGGTCACTTAACTAAATTACTGACCTACTTAGTTGGTCACTAATGTATTTGAAAAATTCGTAACTAATTGGTTTATTTTCCCTGTTCTTTGTTGTGCAACAATATATGAAATAACATCTAATTCTTTTTCATACATAGTGCTGTGGAAACAATTTTGATAATAAAAAAATAGTATAAAATAATTCATTGCATTTAAAAAATATCAACATTCTTCCACCAAATTCACAAGCTATCCAAGTTTGAACAAATTCAAATCCAAGTCTAGACATACATCTCTCTCAAAAACAAACCTAGATGACTCTACAACCCAACCTAGCTATGTCAATTGATCCAAAAACATAAAAATATGATTCACCACAGTTGACTGACTGCAAGCTTCTGCTCTTCTGGTGGAACCTTCAACAAGAAGCATATTATCCATCTGGTTGCACCTTCAACTCTTTTACCAACTGTTACCAAACTATGTGATCCATCTGACCTGCACCACCAAGTCATGAATTAAAAAATGAAAATAAATGGCATAAAAAATGTAAAGCAACTTACAATGAGACATTGCGGTTCAATTGTTCATAAGATTTCCGTTGTTTCTCATATGAAGAGACACTTGTTTCTCATATGAAGTGACATTTTCATCACTGAGCTCTCTTTTAGCATTAAGGAATTTGGCATATTCATGCTCCATTTTGCAAAGTGACTAAAAGTATCACGAAAATGCATTAATTACAATCAAAACCAGTATTCCACTATTGATATAAAGAAACAGATATCATTAGCAAGAAAATAAATTAGAAGCTCTGTCCAACATAGATAAAGCATACGTATAAGGTGCAAAATCAACATCTAACCCTCTAGACCCAGAAAGAAAGATAGAAAAGTAAAACTATCTTAAGCTAGGCCACATAACTCTTACAGAATGCTCGGATTGAAGTAGTTCTGCTGCTGCACCATAATATGTTTGAAATGCTTGTTGTGAAGAATTTTTTATGCCCTGTTGTGATATTGAGGCCCTTAAAAAACTGTGGCAAAATGTCAGGATAGATACTATAGAATAGAAGGTAGCAAGATCTTGACGCAGATCAAACCAAAATAGTGAAATGTGAAATAATGAAACAAACCAAAGGGATTCATACCTCTTCATGAATTTCAGGCTCAGAGAGTGGAAGGTTAAGAAACCTTCTTCCCTGCCGAGCAAAACTAGCAAGAAGAGTCAAATTTGTCTGAGTAGTATCCCGATCCTTAAGTGTTCTCCACTGGTAGATCCTTTAAATTAATACTTATCACTGCTTAAAATGAACATAAGACAAGATTTTAAGTTTAGTCAGGCCATGAGTAGAGAAACCAATATTGTTACCACTAAACAGCAATGTACAAAGTCAGCATATATTATTGAGTTTTCAATAAACATGAGACAATTTTTCAAGAATTTCTATAAAAGGAAAGAGTGTCTTTACCTCTGGATCAGACTCTTCAAACTCAAATTCTGATGATCTCTTACCTGCAACTACTGAACCTGCAGCTAAATATGTGAATCATGCACCTTAGGATTAGAAAAAAAGAAAAAAGGCATCCACCACAAAACAATCAGAACATTGTGCATTGATTGATCCAATTGAAGAAAAAAGGCATCCAACAAAAAATAATCAGATCAGAACATGTCTTTGGAGTTCCTCTTCATTGATGAATATACATCTTCCAATTTCTTACAAATAGATTAAGATTGTGCAAAATACACTCCCCATAAACAAAATCAGAGTCAAGTGACGCATGCCATTTACATTGACCTAAAACCTAATCAAAAGAAAATATTCCATAAAATAATGCAATAACATCATAAATTAGAAAATCACTGACAACATCAGTTGCATGTAACTTTCTGCAAATGCATGCCTCAAAACTAAGAATGTACATACTCGCTTTGGTCATATTGATAAGAACACTGTTAAACATGCAGAGTGTCCCTTTCACCTTGTCAAGGACAATCCTATGAAAAGCTCTGGTTGATGAGCATCAAGCTTGCTCTTTTCTGTAAGACTCCAATCAAATTTTGCCCAAACCCTCTACAACATGAAACATCAAACACATAACAATCCTCGAACCCCAAGAATCAGATTCCAACTAATAAATTGATAATTGAAAAACCGGTACAACACCTTCATTTAAATTATCAGAATTTAAGTAACTTGATGATGGTTGTTATGATGCCAGGCCACACTAATAATTTGTCTGCTAAGTAATCAACTCCCCGAAAAAAATTCAAGAAGACAGGAGAAGGAACATATGGAAAGCAAGTATACAACATGCCAATAAAGCAGTAGTTTTTCTAATTAGGAGCGATACCATTCATCCCTCTCAAAGTAAATTAAAAGAAGCATAAACAACTTTAATCCATATCATTTTAATTGCTGAAGATCTGACTTCTCGAGATTCTGCTGCTAAGTCTATTTGTATGAAAAGCTGAAGTAAGAACAAAGAGAAATGTTTAAAAAAACTATATCCTAGGAGACACATAATACATACATCCAAGAAACAAAGGCATATCATATACTTGGATGAGAGAAGCACCATATCTTGTCTTAAAGATCCTTTCCAAAACAGTAACCAATGTGCTTTCTAGACCAGATAATATCATAAGAAACAATCGATGGAAATAGTAGATATGATAAAAAGTAAAACCAAATTGATATCACATATACCAATGACAAGCATATGCAAAATCCCGCATGTCATGAACACCAGGCCAGTTTCCTCCAATTTTTATGCAAATCTGAATCCAAATGTCAAGTAAACAATTTCGCTTAAATTCAATGTAAAAATCTACAATCCAGCAACACTTCTACTACAGATAAACTAAGTAACAAGAATTAACTAAGAGCCGCTCCTTTGCTCTCCGATTTTCCCCAATTTTCCATATCTCTGTTTTTGAAACCCTAAATCATTGCTCCGTTGCTCAATTTCAGAAAGACGTGTTTAAACATGAAATCAAAATCAGATTCTAATACAAATCATTAAAAAAAAAGGCAAAACAATAAGAGAATACAGCAAATCTGAACCCCAAAGTAACAATCTTTTTCATGCGGTAAAACTAATCGAACACCAAAATCGAAATTGAAAGAGAAATCAAAATTGAACCTAAAATCAAGCTCTGCCCGAGTAACAAACGAAAACCTAGCTCGCTCTGGTCTCATCTCGCGCTGGTCTCGCTCCGTCTTTTTTTTTTCTATTTGATGCAGTACCCTCCGTATTTTGAAAAAAATAAATAAATAAATCAAGTTTAAAAAAGGGGACGTCACTGATGTATCAAATAAGAGAAGGAAGGCTACCTTGGCATATGTGTTCGTCACTAATAACTTAATTTAAGTTGTTTTTGGTGACTAATTTAAATACTGGTCAGAAAATTTAGTCAATAAAAATTAAAAATTAGATGCCAATCATTTTAGTGATCGTATAGTATTATTAGTTATTAAATTTACTGTATTTGTTTGTGACCAGTATTCATTTGGTCACAAGGAAATTGGTCATTGTAGTCTTGAAGCTTGAGGTTATGGATAGTTGAGATACTGAATCACCTTGTGGATATGCAGGCATCTCATGTGGAAGTGGAGGCAATGACGCTTCAAACTGGAGAACTTTCAACACTTGTCCTGCTTTTGGCCTTTCCTTGCTGATTTTCAAATTCAATATCATTTCATTAAATTACAATATAAAAAACAAGTTTTACCTTAGAGATTAATCAAGCATGTTCCTACTAAGATTATTAACCTGCAGAGCGAATTAAATAAGAAACTCTGATCAGTTCAATTTTCCAAATGCAAATCACTTAAGCTAATTTCAAGAAGAAAGATTTTCTTTTTTTCTTTTTTTCGGTCTGAAACTGAAAATATTAATGGCAACAATTCCTTTGAGAAATTTAGTAGAAAATTTTGTAGAAATTGTGAAAGTTGTGGGCTTTTGTTAGCAATGCCTAAGGGTCTGAACTCAATTAGACCACATAAATTTTAATTGTCTTGCTCAATCCACCAACTCACTCAATCAATGAAAAACCTCACATTAACAGATTTCTTTCTTGAGGTTTTCTCGGTGAGACCAAATGATGTCATTTTTAAAAATTAATAACGGTATTATGGGAAATGGGAAATTTTATTAAAGTCAATTTTCTGCTTGAAAAGCGACTTAGAGGTTGTTTTTAAAAGATGTTGTCAAGAGGTCATTGCTTTTTAAATAATTTGAATATTTGATTTTTACCGAACACCGTAAATTGCTTAACTTTAAAGTAAAGCATATTTGTGGCCAAAAAAAGTATTCCCAAACGGGACGACCAAGGATTTAAGGTATGCCTTCATTCCTCTCTGTTTCACATCATCCTCTTAAAATTCTTTTATTTATGGATTAATTTTTGTTTTAAGTAACTTAATTCATAGTATGACCAATTTTGAATAAAGGAACTTTCTGTTCAATGTTCAAAACCCTACCAAATTTCTACAATGACTTTTATTCATTTTAAATAACTATTTGGTTTCTTTTCTATTCTATGAAAGGTCATAAGTTTCTTTTCAACAAAGCCTTGTTTGAAAGAAAACAATGATTGTAAATTTGTAGCAAACCATATCATTTTCACCAAAATCATTAGAGATTTCATTAACATTTGAACAAGACCAAGCCAAAGTTGCTCACCGAAAGTTGACGCCGGAAAAAGGTTGGATCTAAAACAAGCTGTTCACCATGTATCTTGGTATCATGCATGTTATTTGGCACACACACCTGTACATTCAAATAAACGTTCCCCCCAACCCACTTACGCTTAATAAGAAGAATTAACACTGACATGAATATCTCTAAATTTAACTTCATCTATTTGCCCTTGAAGTTGTTTGGTGGCTGTTGTTGTACTACTTTAATGACCCACCGTTTCGAAGCTAGAAGTTAATGATAGCTGAGAGGAACCAGTTTGTTGTTGAGGTTGAGGTTGAGGCTGTGGATAATCATGCATGTCATGTGGAAGTTTAGGCAAAGGTGCTTCAAGCTGAAGAACCTTCATCACTTGCCCTGCTTTTGGTCTTTCCTTGTTGTTGGGACGAGTACACCATAATCCCACATTTAACAAGCATTCCATTTCGTTTGGAACATAATTCATATCCAATCTCTCATCAGCTGCAGAGAGCAGATTTCCGGCAAGGTACAGCTGCCAAACCCACCGAAAAAGCGGTACGTGAAATTCTTCATCCTGATAAGTCCTCCTTCCACATGCAAGTTCCAAGGCCACAACTCCAAAACTATACATGTCTGACTCTTTACTAGCCCTCCCTATTTGCATATTCCGGAGCTATGTAACCAAAAGTCCCTACCACTCCTGTTGACTGAGTCTTGAACCGCGGATCCGCGAGCTTGGCAATCCCAAAATCACCAAGCTTAGTCTTGAAATCGTTGTCCAACAGTATATTAGCTGATTTGATATCCCTATGAAGGACGCACTTCTCTGCATCTTCATGTAGGTAATGAAGGGCTGTGGCCAAGTCTAAAGCTATCTTGTACCTGAAATCCCATTGCAAGGTTGTTCTAGAGCCGAAGAGATGCGTGTCAAGGCTGCTGTTAGGCATGTATGCATAAACAAGTAAGCACTCGCCTTGCTCATGACACCATCCAATGAATTGCACCAGGTTCCTGTGTATTAAGCGGCTTATTATTTTCACTTCGTTGATGAAGACGCTCTCATAGTGCTCAGATTCTGGGAAGATTCTCTTCACAGCAACTGTGCAGCCTAGATCTTGTATGATTCCTTTATAAACTTGTCCTGACCCTCCTTGGCCTAGCCTTCTGTCGTTTGCGAAGCCATTAGTGGCTGCAACTAATTCTTTGTAAGCAAATCGTCTTGGCAAGGCTTGCCTCTCAAGATCTGTGAATTTCCATGTCCATCAATCCTGTTTATCCGCTTCTTTACCACCAACCAGCATATGGCTACACCAACAATCAAAATGAAGAGAAAAACTGCAACGGCCCCAATCAAGAATAGCCTCCTCTCCTTCTTTTTGGTACTTATCTCATCTGAGTTTGAGCTGAAATCCCAGGTATATATAGCATTCCGCTCTCCGGAAAAGCCATTGGCAGTTGAAAATCCAATTGTAACCCACTCCGGGAGAACCTTTCTCAGGTCAATACGGTAAGAAAGCGAAGAGATGGCCACATTAGTATTTTTCTCGTATGTCCAAACCACAGTGAGGTTCTTGGTGGTAGCACTGTAAGTTATCTGTACGTGAGCCATCTTCCCACTGTTGCCGCGAGCATCCCAGCTGGCACTAACAACTGAGGAGATAGTATTGATATTGATCCCAACATGTGGCCCTGGTGGATCCCATTCGTTTGAGTAAGTGTCAAACTCAACCATTACAATTTGGTTTTGGGATGCTTCAAAACGAGTGGTGCTGTTTAATAATCCTAGATAAGCACCAGCAGAGTTTGGTGGAATGGGATAGTGAACAGGGGCAATGAAAAAGACAAGTCCATCAGCAAACACGGTCTTATTATAAGTGTCGATAACGAAAGAGAAATTAGTAGTGAAGTCTGCTAGTTTAGCAGAGTCCCATAAGTGCAAAGGTTCCGCATATGTAGCTCGGCTAGCGTGGAACATACCTGCGCCTGTGATCGTGCCGAGTTCAATCATTCCGTATGGAGAAGGCTCGGCATCACCTTCATAAAGTATGTTGTTTGCATCTCGCCCAAAGCTTTTGATGCTGAAGGAAAGTGGATGAACAATGGGTTGGAAAAAATTGAAGAACATGAAGAGAACAATAGAGCAGTTTTTCAAGGATTGAAGACGGAAAGTTGATATCCTGCTTAGAGACATCGCAATGCGACCAACAAGAACGTGAAAATCTGCAATGCAATGAATAATAGAAATGTACGTGGCAACTATAATGAAGAAGTCAGAATTATGAAGTGTAATGAAGACCAAGGATTGCCATGTTTTAAAGGGAAAGAAGCCCAAGACTTTGACATTCAAAACAAAAGCCCAAAGAAATTGAAATGGTCGACAAGCTGCAAGATGAAATCAGTTGGAAAAACAACAGTTGTTTTCAAAGGCATGGGAGTCTTTGGGCGTATTTCATACGCAATTTCTTTTTTCTCAATTCAATTGCAGTCTCCGAAGTCCTTCTTCACTGTTTCTTGACTGTTTCTTTTTTCATACTCTTTACACACGGACAAGGAAGGATTTGATGCAATACGACGAATTGATGGTAGTTTAAAAAAGAAGTCCTTCACTGTTTCTTGACTGTTTCTTTTTTCATACTCTTTACAGACGGACGAGGAAGGATTTGATGCAATACGACGAATTGATGGTAGTTTAAAAAAGAAATCCTTCTTCACTGTTTCTTCACTGTTTCTTTTTTCATACTCTTTACAGACGGATGAGGAAGGATTTGATGCAATACGACGAATTGATGGTAGTTTAAAAAAGAAGTCCTTCACTGTTTCTTGACTGTTTCTTTTTTCATACTCTTTAAAGACGGACGAGGAAGGATTTGATGCAATACGACGAATTGATGGTAGTTTAAAAAAGAAGTCCTTCACTGTTTCTTGACTGTTTCTTTTTTCATACTCTTTAAAGACGGACGAGGAAGGATTTGATGCAATACGACGAATTGATGGTAGTTTAAAAAAGAAGTCCTTCACTGTTTCTTGACTGTTTCTTTTTTCATACTCTTTAAAGACGGACGAGGAAGGATTTGATGCAATACGACGAATTGATGGTAGTTTAAAAAAGAAATCCTTCTTCACTGTTTCTTCACTGTTTCTTTTTTCATACTCTTTACAGACGGACAAGGAAGAATTTGATGCAATACGACGAATTGATGGTAAGCATCCGATCGGCTACTATTTATAACAATTTTTTTTTTTTTTTCCTAAAAGGACCCCAGTAAAGCCGGGCGGCTATAATTTTATCTTTTCCCAAGTACGGCTATACTGTTTATTGAAAAAAAAAAAAAAAGGACATGCCTAGTGAGTCACGTGTCAAAAGCAGTATAGATGCTCGGTTATACTGTTTTTTATAATCCTCCTTAGATATATTATAGGGATATTTTTAGAAATGTCACATGAACTTATACATCAGTTTCAACTTGTCACCTTAAAGAACATTTAAGCAAAAATGTCATCTTAAGTTTTCAAAATCCATGATTTGTCACCTGACTTTACTATAATCCAATTCTCCATCCATTTTTAAGGGTATTTTAGTCTTTCCAATATGTAAACCCTCTTTTTTATATAATTTAAATATAAAGCTATGTAAACCCTCCTGCTTGGAAAAACTAAAATACCCTTTAAAATTGATGGAAAATTGGATGATGTTAAAGTTAGATGACAAATCATGCATTTTGAAAACTTAAGGTGACATTTCGCTTAAATTTTCTTTAAGGTGACAAATTGAAACTGATGTATAAGTTCATGTGACATTTCTGCAATTATCCCTATATTATATTTAAAAGGAGTATAGTGTTTTTAAAAAAATTAAAAGAAAAGGACCCTTCTAGTTGCATTAGTTTATACTTTATAGATACTAGCCTCTATGCACGTGCTTCCGTGCCTGAGAGGCTTTTTTATAAAAAAAAATTAAATTTATTTTAGAATTAAAAAAGATAATGGGTAGATGTATTCCATAAAAATAGGATCCATTATCTTATTTTTCTTTTTATTTTAATTTTTTTAATATGAAAGAGTGTGAATTTACCATATTATCCTCATTTAATTAATAATTTCAATTATTAATGTTCGCATTAACCAAGGGCATTTTCTGGTATTTTGAATGTTTCACCATTGTCTGCATTTTGCTTTATATATATAGATTAATTTGCTAGTTTCGACATCTCCAAAGCAGATATTAAAGAGAGAGAAATTTTATAGTAAATCAATTTGAGAGTTCAATTTTTTCTTCTTCTTTCTTTGTGGGAATGTTTGCCTTTGGTTCACCTCGTTCTCTCGAGTGCTACTAAATTATGTTATTGCATACATTATTTGTTATAGAGGATTGCATGCTGAGTTGGAGTGTTCTTGAAAATTGCTTCACCTTTCAAACAATACTTTACATGAAGAATACTATCACCTTGCTTACTACTATACTCATAAATCATTGTTTCAAAATTGTTCTTCTAGTTGGCAAAGAGATAGCAAAATCACCATCTTGCATTTTTGTTACAACAAGTAAGAAATAATCTTAGCTCCTCACATTCTTTCATAGTTAGTAAAATACGGAACGGGAAAAATATAAATAAAATACATATGTGTTTTATTCGGCAATATCTTGGAAAATTACAACTAATAAGTTCGGCCATTATATAATATTTTAATATGATTTATTTAAAATTTTTAATATATATTATTTTCATTCAATAATATGCAAAAATTATGCGTATAATCCGTGAATTTTGTGTGTATTATTGAAAATTTTGTAAAAAACAAGTGTATTAAACATGAAAAATATGCACGTATGTGCACAATACAAGTATTAAACGTGAAAATGCTAAATTCTTTATACGAATAATAACTCTAGAAAAGTAAAAACTCAAAAAGGGACAATGGAGTCTCGGGTAATGGCCGCCGTTTGGTTCATGGGAAAGGAGGCATAGGAATGGGAATTCAATTGCTTTCCCATGTTTGGTAAGTCCGGGAATGGGAAACGGATTCCTGGCACATGGGAAAGTAGGGGGGAAAGTGATGCCCCCCTCTTAACTTGAGTTTTGCTTTCCCTCCTCATGGGAAAGTTTGGGAAAATGTGCCAACATTCAATGCACAATTTTCATGACTATTTTGTCCCTATGAACAATTTATAATTACAACGTATCATTAAATGCATTCTTTTTTTATTTGATTTAATATGGGTATAATTGGAAAATTATACAAATTTTGTTTTCCATTCCTACTCAAAACAAACATGGGAAAGGAAACAAAGTGAAATCTCCCGATTACTTTCCCAACATTACCAAACGTGGGAAAGGAATCTTTCATTCCCATTCCTTGGGAAATGACATGGGAATTGATTTCCCCTCAAATCCATTCCGTGAACCAAACGGGGCCTAATAGTAATGTATAATGCTCTAAACTACTCTTATCGATAAACAAAAATCGGGGAAAAAAATTATTTAAATATTATTTTATTTTTTTTTAAGAAGGACCCCAGTAAAGCCGTGCGGCTATACTTTATTTTATTAAAAAAATCCCGAGTATGGCGACTATACTCCTGCGGAGTCTTTCTTGGCTTCTAATTCTAAATATGGAAGATTATGATAATAATGAATCATTAAAATATATTGTCACTTGTTCTATTGAAGTGCCCTTAATTTAAATAATCCAGTGTGTATTGTCTAATTACTAACTAAAGTAACACTGAAATCTAGAATTCAAAAGAGGTGACTGAAACTCGAGAAGCAGAGAACATTTGATAGCCCAAGAAGAAACCATTCACATCAAGATCATTTTAGATTTCATAAACATACTTGGAATAATAACAAGCCTGATTAAGTTGCTTAATTAGGTTCGAGGTTCAATGAAGTTCTGTTCTCTACATCAATAGCTGATGATGCAGTATGCTAGTTCATTAACAAATGAAATAGCCACATATGCATGAAAAAGCATGTCGAACAAAGTCACAGAAACACTAGCACCCAAATCCAAAGATAAGCCTTCATGAATTCAAAATCATGACACAATCATAGTCCAAAGAAACTATTTGTGGTTGTACTATAATCATATGAGATCATGATGAGACAGATGATGCTCAAGTTCATGCATGTCATGTGGAAGTTCCGGCAATTGTTCTTCAAGCTGAAGAACCTTCATGACTTTTCCAGCTCTTGGCCTTCCCTTGCTGTTGGGATGAGTGCACCATAATCCCACCATTAACAAGCATTCCATTTCATTTTTATCAAAAATGTTATCCAATCTCTCATCAGCTGCATAGAGAAGATTACCTGCAAGGTACAGTTGCCAAACCCAACTGACAAGTGGCACGTGAAATTCTCCATCCTGGTAAGTCCTCCTTCCACAAGCAATTTCCAAGGCCACAACTCCAAAACTAAACATGTCACATTCTTTACTGGCCCTTCCTCCATTTGCATATTCTGGGGCTATGTATCCAAAAGTCCCTACCGCCCCTATTGTTTGAGTCCTGGACCATGGATCAACAAGCTTTGCAATCCCAAAATCACCGAGCTTAGTGCTGAAGTCTTCGTCCAACAATATGTTAGCTGATTTGATATCCCTATGAAGAACACATTGCTCTGCATCTTCATGTAGATAATGAAGGGCAGAGGCCAAGCCTAAAGCTATCTTATACCTGAACTTCCATTGCAGGCTTGTTTTACATCCGAATAGATGTGTGTCGAGGCTGCTGTTAGGCATGTATGCATAAACAAGTAAGCATTCGCCTTCCTCATGACACCATCCAATAAATTGCACCAGGTTTCTATGTATTAAGCGGCTTATAATTTTGACTTCATTGATGAAGATTTTCTCATAGTAATCAGATTTTGCAAATATTTTCTTCACAGCAATTGCACAGCCTAGATCCTGTAAGATTCCTTTATAAACATGTCCTGACCCTCCTTGGCCTAGCCTTCCAGTGTTTGCAAAGCCATTGGTGGCTGCAACTAATTCCTTATAAGAAAATCGTTTAGGGAATGCTCGTCTCTCAAGATCCTTATTTATGGAGGTCACATCCTTGGAGTAATTTTCATGTCCACCAATCCTGACTGTTCGCTTCTTTACAACCAACCTACACAAGGCCACACCAAGCATCAAAATTAACAAAGTAAAAGCAGCAATTCCTCCTATCAAATATTTCTTCTTCATTTTCGTATCCTTTTGTTTGTTTCGTATCTCACCAGAATCCAAATGTGCTTTGAATTCCCAAGAATTTATAACATGCCGCTCGGGGGCTTTTCCAGTAGCAGCTGAAAAACCAATAGTAACCCATTCGGGGAGAACCTCTCTTAAGTCAACACGGTGAGAAAGCGAAAAAGGACTGTCAATAAAAGCAGGATTTGGGTTTTCCTGGTATGTCCAAAACACACTGAGGTAGTTTGTGGTAGCATTATAAGTTATCCATGCATTAGCCACCTTCTTTTTGTTGCTGCTAAAAACCCAACTGGTGTTAACAATTGAGGAGATTTTGTTTACATTGATCCCAACATGAGGTCCACTTGGATCCCACTCAATATTTGTGTAGGAATCAAACTCAACTGCTACAATTTGGTTTTTGGACACTGCAAAATTAGTGCTGCTGTTGAACAATCCTAGATTACCACCAGCAGAGTTAGGTGGAATTGGATAGCCAACAGGAGAAAGGAAAAAGGCAAACCCATCACTGAATTTGCTATTGTTATGAGTGTCAACCATGAAAGTGAAATGGGTTGTGAAATCTGCTAGTGAACCGGTAGCAGAGTCCCATAGGTGCAAAGGTTGCGAATAGGAACACCGCCCTACGCGGAACAATTGGGAGACTGTATTGAGTTCTACCCTGCCCAAGGAAGGCGTGGCATCACCTTCATAGAGTATGTTCTCTGTATCAGGGTTGAACTGAGGTATGGTGAACGAAAGGGGAGGTGTGACATTGGTTTGATGAGCAAAGACAGGCAGAAAATTGATGAAAATGAAGAGACAGATGTAGCAATTATTATTCATGTAGTAATTACAAAGGGCTACCTGGCTGCAGCTTATAAGAAACATGGTTGCTTTGTTCAGAGATGTGCATGAAAATCTGCAATGCAAAGAATCAGAGAAAGTCTTCATTGGGTTGAGAAATATATGTAAGCGGTAAAGGACTAATTGAGTTGAGACAGAGTCTGTTTTTTGTCTTAATTGCAATTTGCATCAAAACGACATGCACAATAATACTACTGAGGCAAAAGGAACCAAAGGCATACATCAAAAAAGTTAGCCGTCCCAAGGATTTAATGGCTTTTGTGTTGCCAGGATGAACGGCTTTGACAAGGTCGCATTGGCTGCACTCTCAAATATCTATCGAGAAGGCTAGGGGAATAATGTTCATGCAAAGGTATACCACCGTAGGGGTATCACAAGCCAATAATGCACTTATATGGAAAAATTAAGCCTTGATGTATGCAATGCAAGTGTTTCTCAATTTCGTCATCCTCCAACTTGATATATATGGACAATTGGATTATATGTTTGTAGGCTTTTAGTGGACTGTGGGCTTATTGAGATTGTAGAGTATGGGCTGCCTACTGAGCAAACCCTACTTTTGGGCTTAGCATGACACTCCAACTTGACCCACTCGAGATGCATGCAGCCCTAGGGTCATGAAATGGATGCTCACTACACAACAAAACAAATATAGGACAAAAAGAAAAGGGTTTTTGCCTCCGTGACCAAACACCTCGGAAGCTTTGCTCTTATTCCGGGTTAGGGTTAACTCTTTGGCAATCACAGATTCTCCTTGGCGCCAACTAAAACCTTGGAAATCAAGTCTCTCTCAGTACAAACTACAAACAGGTAAAAGCACCAAACTTTTTCACCATCTGGTCAAACCTTTGAATATGAATCTTCTATGTATCGCATACTGTTTTCTCCACTGGGTTCTCGGAATCATGGACATTGTCAGAGAATAAATTCCCATTGCAATACAAATTTTGGGAATTTATGCTCAAGTACTGTGCTGCATTGATTTAAAAATGTGGAAGAAAAATTTAAGTTTTCAAGGTTGCAAAGCTAAAGAATTCAACTTTCAAGTTTTGCTCATGTTTTCTTCGTGGGTGTAATGAATTTACCAATTGGGTTGCAGATTTTAGCTTAATTTTGATCACATTTTTAATCGCTTGTTATTGTTCATGTTGTATGAGGTTCTCATACTAAGTAAGTGTAAGCATTGCTGGTTGAAGTTGCACTGAATTTTGTTATAAGAAAACTGATTAAACTCTTCTGAGAGTTTCTGTTCATTAGAGGAGAAAGAAATGGGTTGCCAAACCGCTGCAACCAATGATCGTTCGAGGACATATTGGACACCAGCCATGGAACGCTACTTTATTGATCTTATGTTGGAGCAAATGCATAGAGGAACTAGGAGTGGCCATACTTTCAACAAGCAGGCCTGGACAGACATGCTCACTATGTTCAATGGAAAATTTGAATCTCATTATGATAAAGATGTTTTGAAAAGCCGGTATACAAGTTTGTGGAAGCAATTCAATGATGTGAAGAATATTCTTGGCCAGAGTGGGTTTTCTTGGGATGAAGCTTGTCAAATGGTGGTAGCTGATGATTACATATGGGATGCTTACATCAAGGTGCAATGCTTCCGTACCCGTTCGTTGTTTGTAAAACAATTTATTCCATAACTGTGAAATGACATCAAGTGCATGTAGGTTCACCCGGATGCACGACCGTACAAAACTAAAGCAGTCTTGAATTTTAGTGATTTGTGCCTCATTTATGGGTATACAACTGCTGATGGAAGATACAGTCGATCAAGCCATGACTTAGACTTTGATGATGAAGTTCAAGGAGTAGCCATGGGTTTGTATCCTTTCCTTGTCATAAACATACGACTAAGGTTTGCTTTGTTGTTGGACTGAATAATGATCAATAGTTCAATTTTAGAGACTAGTGTTGGAAGGTTGGTGTTTGCTAGTGCAATGTTCTCATGCTTGATGAGCTGATCAGGAAGCATACATAACTCATTCTTTTGTGTTTTGAGAGGAAGTTATGGTACAATCTTCAAAATTGTGACAAATAGGTGATCTGCTTACTGTTAGTCATAAAATGAGCACAACAAGAATCAATGGCCTTGATAATCTGAATTTTGTCATCAATGATGTTTGACTTTCTAAAATTACTTATATTAGTATGTAATTAAATCATATTCATTAGTATGAGATGACAAGTTAAACCGTTCTCAATATGTAGGTGATGGAATGGGCACCCTTGCTCCTTCAAGTAGTGAGCGTCCAAGGACAGATTGGTCACCAGCCATGGATCAATATTTCGTCGACCTTATGCTGGACCAAGTTGGAAGGGGCAATAAGACTGATAATACATTCAACAAAAAAACCTGGATAGATATGCTTGCTAAATTTAATGAAGAATTTGGACATCAACATGGCAAACGGGTTTTAAGACATCGATACAAGAAATTGTTGAAATACTATCGTGATGCAGCAACTTTACTAAGAAAAAATGATTTTTCCTGGGATGAAAAGCGGAATATGATTGTAGCTGATGATGATGTTTGGGATGCTTATACAAAGGTACATTGTCATGAACGTTTCATCTTTCATTCACTTATTTTTGGTAATTTTTTCCTTCTCTCCGTTACTTTTCCTTCCAATAACTGATTAATATAGGATTACTAGTACAGGCACACCCTCACGCACGGACATATAGAACAAAAACCTTGCCAAACTACTATGACATGTTCCTAATATTTGGAAGTGAACCTGATCTTGGCATCAACAATCATTTGCATCCACAAAAAGACGTTGATGACATATCAAAAGTCAAAGTTGGTGAGTTATAATTGCTTTCACAATATTCATAGAGATGTACAAATCCCTGGAAAGAGAAATGGGAACCACATACTGTTGTTCATTTCTTTATAAATAAATATGTTACCCAATGACTTATGAAAGTTGCTGGTCTTTCAGTTTCCTTATCACCAATAAAGAGGAGTTTTAGAGTTTATCAATCATGAAAAGTTTCTTCTTTGTTTCATTCTCTGTAGCTTATTTTAATGATAAATGAGAATTACCCAGTTGTGGACTAGAAGAGTCGTACTATTTTTTCACATTAAATGTCTCTACTTCTTTTTCTTTTTTCTTTTTTTTTTCTTTATGGTGCTTAAATCTTCTCAAGAGTGGGGGTTACTCTAACTGGATATTTAATTCTGTAGGGGGAGGAAAGGGGGGCCAGACCCCAACTGTCAGTGATCGTACAAGGACATATTGGACACCACCAATGGACCGTTATCTCATTGATTTGTTACTAGACCAGGTGCATAGAGGCAATAAACTAGGGCAAACATTCATTACTCGGGCGTGGATTGACATGGTTATGTCTTTCAATGCTCGATTCAGATCTCACCATGACAAAGATGTTCTGAAGAACCGGTACAAACATTTGCGAAGACAGTACAATGACATCAAGAATCTTCTTGAACATGGCGGGTTTTTGTGGGATGAATCACGAGAAATGATAGCAGCTGAAGATAATGTTTGGGATGGTTATGTGAAGGTAAACTTCTCCTTGATTAACTCAAAATTTTATTAGCTTCCCTTATACTGACATATAATGCATGCAGAACCATCCTGATGCTCGACAATATAGAGTTAAAACTGTGCCAGGCTACAACAAATTGTGTGTTATCTTTGGAGAAGAAAATTCTGATGGAAGATACAGTCGTTTGGCATGCAATTCAGATCCTTGCGGTGAACTACCATTTTTAATGACTGGTATGCTTTTGTTACCTTCTCATATTAGTCTGATTTTACAGTAACGTACATTCCAAATTCAAAAAACAAATAAAGTTTCATTCATTTGAACATGAATTCCTTTGCATGTACCACCAACAGAGAAGTATAGGATAGATTTGATGCTACACCTGTAATTGTTTCTTTCATAATGATATGGATGAAATGTTTAATGCCCTTTATGGGTCTAAAGTAGATATTAGGTCGTCGTACGAAATGCAGTGCCGGGGTAGCTTTTGTCTCATGTGCTCTTAAAATGACTTGAATGCCATGTCTAGAAGTGTACTTATTGCTTAGTGTTAGACTTGATGTTTTGTATCCTCAATGTTTTTTTTTAATAAAATAACATTTGTAGGTGAGGAGAAAAATGACCAGTCTCGCACTGGGGTTGTTCCTTTGAGGATGGATTGGACACCAGCAATGGACCGTTATTTTATTGATCTTATGTTGGATCAGCTACATCAAGGAAATAAGATAGATCACACATTCAATGAGCAAGCATGGGCTCACATGCTTGAATCATTTAATATGAAATTTGGACTTCAATGTGATAAATATGTCCTAGAAGATCGATATTTATGCTTAGTGAAACAGCATGACTACATCAGCATTCTTCTCAATCACAGTGGATTTACGTGGGATGAAAGTCAACAAATGATAACCGCTGACAATGACACTTGGGAAGCCTACATCAAGGTGCGTTCTGGTTGTTCATATCTCAAAAACTTGTTTATCCCGTAGTTTCCAGTTGTTTATGTAAGATCTGTTTGCAGGAACACCCAGATGCTATCCAATACAGAAATGCATTTTTAGGTAGCTATAGTGATTTGAGCAAGATTTTTATAAATACAGAATTAGATGGAAAATTCAGTCGTCAGGGTGTAGGAATGGAAGCTGGCCTCATCGCCTTTGAAATAGAGATAGATAGAGCATCCGGAGATATGCAATTTTTAGCTGAGGACATTGAAATGTCTGATCAACAGAGAAAGCGGCCAACTGTGATGCCATCGAACTCGGGACGTTCTACAAAAGCACAGAAAACAGGCAAGGATATGCAAAAGGCTCTTGCAAAGATGGCAGGTCTGGTTACAAAACTGGCAAATAATAAAGAGGACAGTAACTACAAATCAATAGAAAGTGCAATCGATGCACTTCAAGCTATACCAGATATGGATGATGAGCTTATGTTGGATGCTTGTGACCTATTAGAAGATGAGAGAAAAGCAAAGACATTCTTGGCCTTGG